TATATATATATATATATTAGCTTCTTCTGTAACGAAAAAAGATGTTCTGAGAATTGATTTGGACTTTTTAATAAGGTCAAATGGCAAATTTTATTTTAACATAGTAATTTTATTTAACTTTCTTAACTCATTTTATTTAGTTGAGAAAGTTAAAAGAAATTATCCAAAAAATGCATTATCTGAATAATTAGAGTTGTTCCATTGTGATTCTTATTATTTTTGCTTGACTGAAATATTATTTATATAATACATTTTAGACTTTAAATTAAAAAAAATGCGAAAAAAATATTTTTTAAAAGTGGGTAAGAAAAATGTAAAAAAGAATATTGGCATCTTCCGCGACGAAAAAGATGTTCTAAGAATTAATTTTGACTTTCTTATAAAAAAAAATTGGCAAACTTTATCCTAACATACTAATTTTATTAAATTTTTTTAACTCATAATATTTAGTTGTGAAAGTTAAAAAAATTACCCAAAAAATGCATCTGAATAATTCGAGTTGTTCTACTGTGAATTTTATTTTTATTTGTGTGAAATATTATTTATACAATACTTTTTAGTAGTTTAAATGAAGAAAAAAATGTGAAAAAATATATTTTAAGAGTGGGTAATCCTAAATTTGAAATTTAAAAAAAAAAATTTATTTAAATCTACTCAGCGTGTTCATTGGTTTAGCTACGCTTAGATAAATTAAGTTTTTTTTTTCTGAACTTAGTAACAACAAAGAATTTTATCTGCTTAATACATTCTTGAAATGGAACTGTATAATAAAGTAAGTCTTAAAACAATTTTAACTTTGAAATGCTAGGAATAAATTCAGATCTTAAACTTTTCTAACTAACCCCGGAATGCTATGTTTACTTAGTGCCTAGTTCGTTAAAGCAAAGTCATCTGCATATTTCTTTAATATTGTCCGATAAAGTAGGCGTTATTGTTAAATTTCTGAATTCTCACCAAAAATAAAATAATATCCATTTATGCTAAAATGGATATTAAACATAATGAAAATTTGACGAAAGGCATTATGTTTTAGCAATTATAATTACTAAAATAGATTTCTTTTGTCAATTAAGCAGAAGAAATAAATTTTATGAAACTTATTCGATACGCCTATTTGTTCATTTAAATTAAGTTTAGGGATAATATATATTTGAAATTAAAACCAACCAACAATAATATTTTTATTATTGATTACCTAGTTATTTCTTATGATTTATTTAATTTCTAATGCCTAGTTAAAGTATAAAGCACGAGAGAGTTCAATAAAAACTAAGAACTTTTATCTTTCAATTTAAGTCAAATATAGACATTTCATATGCTAAGTAGATGTTCCAAACAAAACTTGATTTTCAAACTTGTTAAGCAAACTTGTATAATTTTGTTGTATATGAGATATGAGATTGCAAATAGAAATAATTTTAAACAATATATTTTGACTCTGAAAGTGTTGTTTTTAAATTGTCATTAGATATAAATTGTTTTAATAAATTATTTCTACGTAAAATATATTTTTCTAAATTAAATTTTTAACAATTTTAACAAAATTGCTAAAACATGCTTTAGATTAAAATATCTGGTTAAATGAATATATGCAATTCTAGGTATCAAAAAAAAATTTCTAGAACAATTTTAATCATCAGTTTTTAGCAAAATGTTACGAATTTTATTCCTGATGACAGCTATTTTTAATTTTTTTTTAATATTGCACCTATATTAATATCTAGAATTAAATAACTTGCCTTAAATTCTTTACTTAAATCAATCTCTAGTATATTAACAAATACTAGAGAAATTGCTTACTTAGTTCATAAAATAAAATACAGTATATTTTCTCATAAAATATTCTTAAATTATAATAGTTTGAAATGAATACAAATTCTTAATATTCTTAAATATTTCTGCTGTGTTTAATCATTTTGGCAGTTTCACTACTAAATAAACTATCGTATAAAATATCATTAATTATGTTATTTTTCATAAATTACAATAGTTATAAACAAATGCAAAATCATAAAATTGCGGATGTATTCAATATTTTTTGTTCTGCCGATACTAAATGAAATATCGTATCTTTTCTTATTAAATATTCATAAATTTTAATAATTTAAAAGAAATCCAAACTCATGATATTGCTGTTGTCTTTAATTTTTCTGCTCTGTCAATACTAAATGAAATATCGCATCTTTTTTTAAATATTCATAAATTATAACAGTTATTATAAAAGTTTGAAACAAATTCAAAATTGAAGTATTGCTGTTGCATTTAATCTTTTTTGTTCTGTCGATAAGAAAATAAAATTATTACATTAATATAAAATATTTCACAAAATTTTATTTGATGTGATATTTATCCAAAAGTAAATGTTTTCTATTTATAGTGTTTATGGAACAATTTAAAAGCTGTATTATTGTTTTCTTTCTATTAAACTACAAGTTTTGTATCTTTAAAAATGCGATAATATATCTTCACGTCAAATCAAAATAACTGTAAGTAGTTTTGTGCTTTTCCTTTCTGCAAAGGGAAAGTAACATATTTTAATGCTTCTACCAAATAAAAAAAGGGTTGCATCAAAAACAAATACTTCGAGTCTTTTATGGAAAATAAAAACAAACCTTAAAATAAAACGGACCAATATAGTTTTATAGGTTCTGATATCATAAAAATAAACATCTACTCCTAAAGTTTTTATGATTATGTAAAGAAGAATGAGATCTGAGAGTTGCACAAAAACAGGATATTCAATAAAAGTATTATTTATATTAAAAGACATTGCTTTCAGGTTTCGCTTGCACAACTTGTTTATTTTCCTTTCGAATATTGGAAAGATGATACTCAAGATAAACATCATGAATACTACCATCGTTCTTCAGAAGGCCTTTCCTTGAAATAAATCCAGACAACTGGAGTATCGTATATTTATTTTTGAATCAAACAACATGATAGTCATGCTTTGATTCAATTTATAAATGTCAATAAATAGTCATGTTTCATGCATATCAATCAATACTTTTCTAAGTTAGAACATAAAAGGCTATGGAAATAAATTCGCATTATGTGAATATTTTTGCTCTATATGAATATTTATTTTACATTATATGAATATCAATTTTGCATCATACAAAAATCAACCATACTTCAAAATATTTTCTTTAGAACTATGTTTTATATTTTATAATTGGAGTTAAGCAGCCGAGTCAGATATGTGTTTATGACTATCAATGTTAAACTCTGTAACCTTGTAATTGAAAACCCACACCAGAAGACACGGGAACACCTGGATCAAGCATTGGGAAAAATTGGTTTATATGTGATGCAATTTTCATCAGTTTAACTTAAAAAATCCAATTTTAAAAAGATTTTGACTAAACAAATTTTCTTCCTTTTTTTTACTGGTCATTTAGAATTAATATAAAAATAAACTCTTAATTTAAAAGTTTTTACCTTAATTTAAAAATTAATATCTCAATTTAAAAATTAATATATTAATTTAAAAATTAATATTTTAATTTAAAAATTAATATTTTAATTTAAAAATAAATATCTTAATTTAGTTTATATTAAAACAGACGTTAACTTTTACTTTTGATGAATTGGCCAACCTATTAAATGTGATCTTAACCCAAATAAAAATATTATTAAGGCTAATAAAATATGTACTCTACATTTTATTGCTTGTTAAACACTGAATTCAAATTTAACTCAACTCAAATTTAACTCACTAAACTCAAATTTAAATTATGTGGTAAAATATATCTATAGAAGCTTACTTGTGTAAGCTAATATGGACAAAACAATATCAATCTTTACCAAAATAGTGTTTGTATAAAAAAAATAAACTTGCTTTGTTTTCTTAGATGCATATTTTCTTTCTCTAATTCCAAGTCAAAGTAAAGCTTTGCTTAAGCATAATACTTTTATGCTTTAGAAACGAAAGTAAGCAATTTACTGTTCAGCTACCACGAGCACATTTCCAACGAAAAGGTAAAATCATTTCTGATAAGAGAGAAATTAAAAAATGACATCTCTCTAAACACCATTTAAAAAAATACGAAACTGTTACCCCACACATCTCTTCAAAGTAACTTATCTTCGTTACCTCAGTTACCACTAGCACATGAGTCTACGTCTAGAAGAGTTCTCGAGATTGCTGAATAGTATGTAACTAAGCTCCAAATTTGCACATATTGTTTTTATATATCTTTTAGTGACGAAGAAATTCATTTTCTATGAAATGCATGTTATAATAGAGTTTGATTCTGTATTTTTTTATGAAGTAAGTTTCTAATGTCAAGCATAATACTTATTTAGATGAAATATTTACTCGTATATTTTCTTCCAGTTAATAAGCTCTTCATAAACAAAATGCAACCCGACGTCCGGAAAAAAATAGGCATGTCTTCATCCTTTTATCACTCTTTCATATTAAGTCTCATATTCATCCTTCAACTCATCCATCATGCATACAGTCATGGACGTCTAATAGAGCCTCCATCTAGATCCAGTATGTGGAGATTTGGTTTCAAGACAAAACCTAATTATAATGACAATGAATTGTTCTGCGGGGGATATACGGTAAGAATTTTTCTAATGCAACATTTTAAGAAAATGTTTTTAATATGTTTCTTAGTTCAAACTCAAGCAGGCATGTCAAACATGTTCCCTGCGTTGTAAATTAGATCCACCCGATAATTGTGGGTAACAGACTTATATACTAATGATAGTAAATATCCGTTTTTGTACGTATTGTAAAACAGAAAGTAAATAATTAATTAAAAGGAATTAATTAATAAGTATTAATCAACGCCACACAATTCAGCACAAAACTATATTATTATTTTTTAACTTATTATTTTTTTTTGCCCTTCTCAATTAATTTACATTATTATTTTTGGCCGAAAAGAAGTTTTCAGACGTTCAATTCATCAAAGTAAAAATTAACCACATTCAGATTAGATTTATGGAAAACATTTAGCACCGAAAATGATACTATTGCTGATTATCAATTTAAGATGTCAAAATCTGTCTCAATACTTCAATAGAGGAATATTATTTATTAATTTTGCAATTAAGCAATTGTTTCAAATTTTTGTGTTAATAATTATTTGTTTCAATTGCTGTTGATTTTATAAATTATTTAAGTATTTAGAAACACGTTTCAAGAGCATAACTATTAAAAAAGTAAAATTACACTTTCACCTTCTGATTCTGCTTATGCTCCTGATATAATTGATTAAAGATAAATAATTATTAAGGAGCTTGTAAATAACTCTCAGGGACTATGCTTTGATTAAACAGACCAGTAATCTAGCAACATCACTAATGTTATCTTTCAAATATTTGAGAAACAGAACGGTTTAATTTATAACAATCTCTAATGTTTAACATATAAGAAAGATTCATTTTTAAAATGTCCCTTCCGAACTAACTGATTGAAATTTTTGAATTATTTTAAGAATCCGAAGATAAGTTTGACACTTCCTTCAAATTTCTAGAAAGACGCATAGCACAGATGAGTTTGAGCTCGCTTTTGGAGGTCCAAATCCACTCGAGCCCAAGCTACTAAAAATTACTTTGAGCCCGAGTTCGTCTGAGATAAACGTCGGATAAAGGTCAAATTTTATGGTCTTGCTATTTGGCCTTTGCTTAAATAAGGAAATTAGTCTTTATAACCTTTTTATCACAAATAATTAATAAATGTTACAGTTTTTATAATTTAATAACTGGATAACCGTTTGCTTAAAAGTGGTAAAAGAGTTTATGAAAATTTTGTCCGGAGTCTTAACCCTTTCGAGCTTGAACACTTTTATTCAGTAAACGAGCCCGAGTCCACGGCAGGCCACTCGGGCATTTGGGCTAGCACACAGATCGACGAACCTACACATAAAATATCTTTCTTTTGTTATTATAGATAATCATGTATAGACTGCCGATTGAAATTTGCAAAAACCAATATCATGCCTATAAATCTATTATGATAAATTAAAAAAATCTTAACAATTGGTTAGAAATTTCAGCTGAGAAAATTATAATTGAATACCATTAAGAAAATTTTATGAAATATGAAAATATGAAATAAAAAGAAAGAAGAAACATTTAAATTATTATACGCTAATTTTAATGTACGAATTTTTGCTAATAATAATAGTTTTCAGTTCAAAGCGAAGCATTTTAATTTATTTGTATGTAACATAGTGTAACAACGCGGCATTCAATTTTTCCTTTTTATTTCATTTCATCAAAATTTCTTTGTATTATTTTTTCTCTTTCATAAAATTATCAATTTTTTTCTGCGGCTAACTTTTTATTATTTTTAATATGCTATTCTTAATAAAATTCTTAATAAATTTTTTAATAAACTTAGCTAAAAGTGAATGAATTTTAAACTCAATGCATACTGTTGATTAATGATAATTTCAGTTTCTCGATTGTTTAATAATTATTAAGTAAATAATTAAGTTGTGATAAGTTGTGAGTAATACTCACGATTTATCTTGTCTAATTATCTAAAGATAAGATAATTTAATCATACTATTTCAAACCTACTCACTTTTATCTAGATAATCAAATTAAAATGCACCATTAATAGTAAAAAGTCAACTGAATGAATATTATTTATTTAACTGAAAATTTAAAAAGAATAACTGAAAATTTAAAAGTTTAAAACAAATAAAATTTCAAGCAAAATAAAGTACTTTTCTTGAATTAAATCTGTATAAATGTCAAAGTGAATTCATGACAAAGAATTATAGTTTCAATAAACAATTTTTTGCCAATATCGCTTTGTTTAAAACAGCAGCATAGTTTAAAAAGGATATTCCGATGATCATTTTGCCCCATCTTATCTTCAATGTATTATGCATTTTGTGACTTATCAAAAATGAATTTTATAGTAATTTTGTAATTCATCAAACAATATTTATATTCCTAAAGGACCTCTACGTTTAAGAAATTCAATTTTTATTTCAAATTTCATATACTTAAAAGTACCTTGGACGTGGGCAGTTATCTTAGACAACAAAAGAAATTTATCTACAATGAATTGCGTTTCAAACATATTTCTCGTTTAACAGCTTAATTTTAATTAAAATATTTGCATTGTAAAACATACATGATTGTTGGAAGTAAACAAGCATTTTGAATGTCATACCTAGATATTATTTAATAATTTATTCCTATCCTACATTTGGCTTTATCACACAAATTTAAACAGATATTTTCTAAATTTTTGATCCAATTAAATAAAATTTGTGTGGTATTAATGACAATAAAGGAAAGCCTATATCAATGAAATACAATACAAACGAACAAAGATGCTCCAAAGATTCTATTACAGCTAAACAAATAACCATAAATTTTACGCTAAACGAGTGCTGACTTTTCCACTTTATAATGGCGAGAACTAAAATTAACATGTTGCCATTCTACTCAATTGAAATTAATTGCGTCATAAAAATAAATGGTTACCATTCCTTTCTTTTAAAAATAGCTTGTCTTTCCCTTGCTCTCTTTTTACAAAAGCTCTTTGTTGTTGCGAAAATTTTATAACGATTACCACCCTTGTGTTCTGAGAAAACACAGGAAATTGCCTGTATTGTCCATCAATGCAGCAATATGCCCTATCGCCAATTTAATGTTTTTGCAAATTCCTAGAAACTTTTGTTTGAAAACTACTCTTTTTTACTCGTAAGTCTAAAATACAAGATCCGTTGTTGGTTAGATTACAGTTCATTCGTAATTTGATGTTGTTCAGATAACAGTAGTAGTTTGCATTTCTCATAAGCTTACAGCTCAGAATATCCGGTTATATCTAAAGACAAAGAATTTTTTTATTCGTTCCTTGGTGGTCTGAATGTATGTAATCAGTGATCGTTGACGAATGTAAAAATAGTGATACCTAAGGCATTAGGATGTATACAACACCTTTAGATATTGCGATAAATATTCATAAAACTAGCGATTAAGATATCAAAGATGGAAGGATCATCGTGTAAAAACTTTTCGTTTGTTGGCAACAGCGATTCGAAAGATAAAAGCCTTATCCGTCTATAATAATTACACATTAACATAAGTTCTAAAGATATCTTCATAATTTTCGCTTAATATTCAACAAGAAAGATAACTTCGTTTTGTTTTATGTTATAAACCTTATCTTCATCATACTAAATTTCATGCTAAATTACTAGTACATTGATTCCAATTCTTAATAACCATTTGCCTAATCTGAAATGTTATTATAATTCTTTAATTACAGTTTGCATGCTTAGATTTTCTAGCTTAAATGGGAGGAGTCTTACAGTTAACAAATAATGATATATGCACGTTAATTGCATATCCAATTAGACTAAGGGAGGTAACTTTGATAATGCTTCTGAGTATTTTTACTCATCAGTAAATTAATTTCAGTCAACTCATATTAAATTAAAAAAATTATTTATTAAATATTTTTCATAAAAATGCTTTTGCATAATTTAAATTTTATTTTTACAGCAAAATTAGAAGACTCAGGAAAAGAACCCTCATCGCATAAATAACACTCGAGAACACTTTTTTTCTGTTGCATGAAATTTTTTTAACAGATGGTGAATAAATTCATATCGCCGATTTCAAATCTTCAATTGGTATCCCTCTCCAAACTTCATTTTTTAAATAACATTTTTTGCCGAAATGTACAAGATTAAAAACATTATATATAACAGAGCGTAGTATAAAAGTTGCTTCAAATTTTTGGAGGAGTTTGAGCATATCATCAGGATTAAAACTGAATAAGAACCCATGCCCGGAAATTTCATCATACGCTGCTAGGGGTGTCAAAATTCCTTTCAAATAATTTATAAGCAATTTAATGCAGCAAGATTAGAAGCCTCGAAAAGCGAACCCTCACTGCACAATCAATACTGGGGACCATTTCCGTTGCATGAGATTTTTTAACAGATCTTAGATGCTTTCGTATCTAATCTTCAATTGATTTCTCTATCCAAGCTACATTTTTTTAATTATATTTTTGTCGAAATGTAAGACTTAAAAGCATTATATAACAGGGGGTAGCACAAATGTTAAGACAAAATTCCAGAGGAATTATCCCCGGAAATATAGTCATATATCCCTAGAGGCGCCTCCTTATTATGAACCACTTTTTTCTTCTGTTTTTTCTTCTAAACAAGTCATAATGGGAAGGCATCCCCAGCGGCGTACGTTGACGTTTCTGGGCATGCAATGCAATTTTGATCCTGATAGTGTGTCCGAACTCTCCTAGAAGTTTATCGCAACATTTATGTTGCCCCTGTTATATATATTTTTAAATTTGTGTCACTTCGACGAAAAATGAAAACAAAGTGATATTTTTTTTAAAAAAATCCGTAAATTCAAGGGCAAAACAAATTTCAGAATTGAAACCCTTTCAACCGAATCAGGTAAAATCAAGTTAAAATTAAGCATAAATGCAACAGAAAATTTGTTCCTCATTGAAATATAAGAAACATTTTTGATGCATCACTTTTTTTTTAATATTTATAACAGGCAACATCAATTCAAAAAGTCCTAGAAATATTTATGTTTGCTTTTTAAAATGTTACTTGCTTTTTTTTAGTTGTTACCAGAATTAAAACTTTCATGTAATTATCTGAAAACATTAAAACTATTAACATGTGTCGCAAAAATGACATGCTAAAGTTAAGCAACATTTGTTTCACAAATAAAATTTTTAACAGATAATTTTGATTTGCCTAGTTTGTGATCTCAAGGAATTTAATAAAACTAAGTAATTTTACTAAAAATTGTAGTTTTATTTTGAAAAGAGTTACGAAAGTTTGACAAACGAAAAATGGAGAAACCCAAAAAAAGAAAGTTGAAACTTTCATCTTTCGTTTTGAAAAACGTATTTTGTGTCGTCGGTTTTGAAAATAAAGTATAATACCATGTAGGAATAATAAATAAAAATGATAAAATATTTTTACTTTTATAAAAATTCTTTTTCATAAAAATATAGTATTTTCATTCAAATTTAGAGAACATATTTTTAGCTGTAAAGAGATATTCTAATTTGTCCCACAATATCTATAAGATGCATTTTTTTACCAAAATATGATGAAATTTTAAATTTTTCGTGAAAATTCTTTTTTCTATATAGATTTTTCAATAGATCATAGACTTTATACAGATTAAATTTAGAAAAAAAGTATTTTCAAGAAAAAAATCTATTTCAATATATTCCACAATGTATAAAGAAATATGTATTAAACTGAAATAATACCATTATCTAAAATACAATTTAAGAATTTTAAATACATTCTATCTTCTAAAATTATAAAATTTAAAACATTTTTTAATGTTTCCAATAAAAAAGCTTAATAATGTTTTGTAATCCCTTCCTTTACTAAAGATATATTATTAAAATGTAGAAAAGACGATTAAAATAATTTTCTAATGAAACGTCGCTTTCTAACTTTCCAGAAAGCTTAGGAATTAAAGACTTAGTAAAGGATTAAACCGCAAAAACCTTAAAAGGTTTTAGAAAGAAGCATTTTTATAGACATTGGCCAAACGTCAACTTTTAATGGATATGGAAGCTTAATTCCATCGAATCGTGAAATATTTTGAAGATATACTTCAAAGCTGCAAAAAAAATTACTATTATTGCTACTTAGCTATTAGTAAAATTAAAATAACACGTTATGTAATTATTGCTAATTAGCTATTAGTAAAATTAGGATAACGCAGCATATAATGGGATTTACTTAAATTAATCTATTCACTTTTATAATCATTAATATAATCATTATTAGCTTTGTTTTTAACTAACTTGTATTTGTTGTTCGCAATTGTAACTTTAGCACAAAAGAAAAATAAATTAAAAACACAACAGTAATAATAAATATAATATTTATAGTTTTGGCAAGCTTTCTTGAAAAATGTAAAGTAACATTTTAAAATAAATTAAGAAACAAGCCATTTCAAGACATTCTACAATGTGTATGAAATGTCTTATAATATATTATTTTAATGAAATTCTAGCCGTGTTGGCGACCAGCTTGGATACCTTTCAAAATATTCTTGTGCGTCATATAAACTTTAATGATTACCGAGTCAAATTTATAGCACAACTCTATTTAAATATTCTAATTCTTTAACCTCTTCTCCAATCCTAACACCTTAATTAGTTAAGACCAATGTATTAACTGAATTTTTTTTCCATCTTCTTAGCGCGGAAGTTCTAAGATTACAATTATAGTCACTTCAAGAGATTTTCGCGATATTTTATTTCATATTTAATAACTGTCGTTGAACAGCCTACCCAATTTTAAGTATACGATTACAAATGTTCAACTCCGTAGTCTTGTAATTTTGAATCCAATCCAGAAGACAAGGGAACTCCCGGTTTAAGTATTGAGAGAAATTTGACTTCGTGGAGCACTTTTTGATGGAACTAACCCGCATTTGTGTTACATGGCGTAGAAAATCTGCCATTGTTAGCCTGACGGCAAGGTAAAAAAATAATTTTTTTTAATTTTTTTTTTCGACACCAGTTCTCAAAATATTTTTGTTTTAAACTTTTGCAATAGTATGTTTGAATATATAGGTCTTGAATTATTTTCCGTTACTTTCAAATATCTAAAAGATTTTTTTAACATTATTTTCTTTTTTAAACTGGGAAAAAGTAAAGCAGCAGTGTTTTTTTCTTTAAAAAAATTACTTTTTGGTTAAAATCTTGTTTTTTAGTTTTAGGTTGTGATTTATTCAGTTCTAAATTTTGATATTACAATCTAGAATTTATTTTCTTTCAATTTCATATGGGACACACAAAAGGTTTAGCANTTATTTTCTTTTTTAAACTGGGAAAAAATAATGCAGCAGTGTTTTTTTCTAAAAAAAAATTACTTTTTGGTTAAAATCTTGTTTTTTAGTTTTAGGTTGTGATTTATTGAGTTCTAAATTTTGATATTACAGTCTAGAATTTATTTTCTTTCAATTTCATATGGGACACACAAAAGGTTTAGCAATCCCAAAGCAACACAGAAAAAAATAAATATTTTATTAACGAATTTACAGTTTATTTTACTTATATAATATGTTTAATATTGCAATTTTATAAATATATGTTTATTTTTTTAAATGAACCATTTCATAATATTACTAAGTCACTAAAATCTCTAGATCTTGATCTTGGTGTTTTTCTTTGAACCCATATAACATTTTGATATGATCTTATATCTTACAATTCGAGGTTAACTATGTGTTACCTGACTTTTTTCTGCATGATATTTTATTAAAACCTTTTTTTGACATTTCAATATAGTTTGAATGATGAACTTCTTATTTCAGGTTCAATTTCAGAGGAACGGAGGGAAATGTGGGGTTTGCGGAGATGCTTGGCACTTACCATCCCCTCGACCCAATGAGGCCGGGGGTGTATATGGGAGAGGAATCATCTCAAGAAAATACAAACCTGGACAGGTAAATGATGGATTATAGCATCTACAATATTCTAGAATATCTAATTTTGGGAGTAATTATAAGTGAGGCATCCATTTTATGAAGATGGGGTGCCACAAGAGAAGCAATACCTGACTTATTACCTTAAAATGAACCGTTTCTTTTAAGGCCTCTTGTTCTTACCTGACCTAACCCATATTTTTTTTTAAAGTTTAAGAGACTGTTTCAGGTCAGTATAAAAATTAACATAAGGGATAAGTGTTCTATTTCTGTCATTTGTTTAAACAGGATGGCAAACTAATATTTTTTAGGTTTAATAAGACAGTCAAATATACTGATCAGTAAAAAAATGCTTCGCGTGACTTCACTGTAAAAAAAATCTGGATCAAATTATGGTATAAAGTGCTGGGTTTTTTTCGTGCATCATTCGCAAAATCCATTTTACCATAAAATTCTTTTTTACCATAAAATTCTTTTTTACCGTAAAATATTCGAACATCATTTACAGTAATATTTATTTAATTATAGTGATTCATTAATTTTAAGGTAATTATTACAGTAAAATTTACAATATATCAGATTTTTTGTTCCGTAACATGTTCCTGTAATTATGGTAAAAAGTACTGGAAAAGTACCAGAATGATCCGGAATTTTTTATGGTATTTTTACCTTAGAGTTCGACGGTCAAACTGTTACGGTCATCCTAAAGCTTTTACCCAATTTTTTGAAGGTTGAGAATGACTAAGTATTTAAATTAAGTGTTTTCAATTATTAAAGTATCTATTTAAAACATACCAATCATTTAGTGTCTCCAATAAATTTAATATGAAACAGGAAAACGCACTTTTCTAAATAAAAATTTATACTACTTCTTGAAAAAAAAATATGTGACTAGTTGTGATCTAAAAAGTTTCTCTAATGAGCATTTAAATTTTTAAGCTCTGAATTCTCTACTTATTTATTTATTTATTTGCATCTTTCCTTAATTGGTACAAATCGAAACTATTTTCACACATCTACCACGCAAAAAATTACTTTTTTAAAAAATAATTTATCATTTTTATTTTATTTAATACTGTGAAGAAAATAATCTAATTTTTAAATTTTCCATTTTTTTACATTATATTATTGCGTAAATCAAAATGGCAAAATCTAAAATTTCGAATAAATGAAATAAACTGGATATTAAATATTTCAGAACACAGTTTTTATATATAAAATTCGGATTTTATTTTAAATGTAATTTTTCGGAACCTATTGCTCTAATTTATTTCTAATTTCTAAATTTCTCTCTGCTTCAAAATCTTGAAATTTTCACGAAAAGTTTTCAACTTGATTACCTTTAAATTTCGGAATGACATTTAATTGATTTTCAATATATAATTTAACTATTATTTCAATTTAAAATATGGTTTCCTTATTTATAATTACTATTTAATACATAATTTAACGCAGCTGGAAAAATAAATGCACCTTATATCAGTCATTAGATAAGTAGAACGATGCAGCTTTCCAATACTATTTCTTTCGGTTGGATTTTCTTAATATATCCCTAGATTTATATAACACTGGAATATTTCGATTATTATTAAATGAATAAAAATAAAGAATTTTTATTAATTCTTTGTTGAAAGTTGATTGAGTTGAGTCTGTTTTACGCGATTTAATCACTTACAAAATTATATATAAGCTTTAAATATGCTAAAAGAATACAAATAGAAACTACTTGTATTGCTCGTAGATCACTAACTAAATCAAACTAAATCTAATAGGTGATTCTTAAGGTGCCTATAGAATCAACATAACATAACCTTAGTCTAAGTTACATTTTGAGCTTAGTACTCCAAATGTTATGTAGTACCTCCATATCAGTTGACCACCTGAAAATTGGCATTATATGAGAGTCTCGATATTAAGCATAAAAACGAAAAGATCAAATGCCTAGGAGTGCAGTAGATTAACTTTTATACACCACAGTTGCACAATTAGTGTATAAAAAATTTTTACTTAAGTATTGTTTCTCAATCAAACAAATAAATCTATATTTTTTTCCAGTTCGAAAAGTTTAGTTTAACATTGAAATTTCTCAACCATTGGAACTACTCGTATTGCTCGTAAAATCACCAATAATTATCACTCTACTAAATCAAACTAAATCCGTTGGACCGATACGAGCCGTGAAACTCAACCACATCGAATTCCGATTTAATGAACACATCTTCAAGTTTCGATAACAAATTATAACTTCTTAACCTCAAACCACCTACTCTGTTGATCTTTAATGGCTAAAGAAGTCATTGGGTTAATGGAATCACGTGAGAGTGTTATATTGAAGTGGCCAAACTTCCTCAATTGATTGATTATTGATTAGAGAGCGGTCACTCCTCTTTCATCAATCATGAAATGCTCCACTTGCTTTCTTGACCTTTGATCGTATTTTGGTGCTAGCCACACTTTATGCTCTGTTGCTTAAAGTGTTAATAGCAGTTGACAAACAGGATGTCTAAATATTTATTTTTTGGATATTCATAATCCTTTGTTATACTTAAATTATTTATGAAATTGTTTTGTTTGTTTTTAACTTAAGGTTAGATAAGTTGCTTTAGATTTATAGGACTCGAAAGAAAAATTACCTAAATATAGTTGCTTGATCTAAATTTAGTCCGTTAAATAATTTGTAAATAATTAAAAAAAATGTTTGCTTCAAAGACTTTATTTAATTGTAGATTTAACTGTTATGAACCCTAAAATTTTATGGAGAAATGCTAATTAATTTACTTTCAAGAATTTTGTTAGATTTATTAGCATAATTATTAGTGATTCAAATATAAATGTGATTAATATGCATCACGTAATTGTGATAATTAAACGTTTAAATAAATAATCCAAGATAATAAAGCAGAAAGGCATACTTGGTGATGCGAAATTTCATTTACCTCAAAAAATTTCTTTTAAGGGCCGATTTCCCTTTTAACAAAATAAGTTTCTCACCACCTTTCCATAGCACGTATAACTCCATCTTGCCTTATTTGCCTTTTTACTGTGATTTTTCTGGCTGTATTTTTCAACCTTCATTTATTTTTTGTTTCCTGTTCCACACTCGACTGCCATAGTTTTCCCAGTTTCGTTTTTATTTTCTATTTTTCTTTGACAATTTTACGTTTTTCGTTTCAAAGCAAGTTTTCCTCGTTCACATCTGACGAGTTTTGGAAATGGGTGCCTATTTTAAATCGATCGAAACATGGCAATTTCTATTAACATCTTAACAATTTTTTAAGCAATGAAGTTTTATATTACCAAATTTGGTTAAATGTTTGATTATTTCACGTTGCACAATTCGCTGCAATTTAATAATCACTTGTTTAGCATGCTATAAATGAAATATTGTTTCATTAGAATATTCATTGATATTAAATGTACCCAAATTATGATAAATTTTTAATAAAAAATGATTCCTTCGATCTTTTTTAAATGTAATTTGAATCTTCCATATTTGTAAAAATTATAAAATTTGCTTTAAGAACAGTTGGAAACAAAAAGATTATTGTTTCAAAATGTGATTTAGATCTTTTTATCTTTGGTATAATAATTTTGCAATGCAACTCAAAATGTAGAGTAAAAATCAATTATTAAAATTATAAATGTTTAGTTATCAAAAAATCTTTCAAGTTTTTATGGGCAGTTTTTTTTCTAACTGGCATACTTCTGGGTTAAATATACATTTTATCTCATGGTAAAGCTTTTGCGGGAAAAATATTTAAATTACTTTAGTTAAAACTATTATCTGTTCAGTTATTCTTAAGAAAAAATCTTTTTTTTTTTTAGTTTTACAAATACGTTCAAAAACTTTATATGGCTTTGTCTGCTTGAATAAATACTTCTGATTAAAGAATTAGAATATTAAAAAAATACATTTTCATCAAATTTCTTTTGACAGGTTATTAAGTCAACAGTGGAAATTACAGCCAATCATAGAGGATTCTTTCAATTTAAGCTTTGCCCGCACAACAACCCATCCACTGTTGTTAAACAAGATTGCTTAGATCAATATCCCTTAGAAGTGGCTGACGGATCAGGGAATAAATATTACCCTTCAGCAGGAACTGGCCCATTCAGCGTACAATTAATATTGCCAGAACACATATCTTGTTCCCAGTGTGTGTTCCAGTGGACTTACACAGCAGGTATGACTCTTGAATAATTTATCACAAGTCATCGAATTAAAATAAAAGTAGTTGAAATGTAAATCATTGTGTATTCCTTTCAACTTAAATACAGCATCTCATTTTCTATGTGGTAGGTACACATTAAAATAAATGCATATGTTACTGTGAGAGATTTAGATTTGGTGAGTATTGACATTCACTCAGCTGCTTTGGAGAATGTTCAAAATATTTGTTAAATATCATTATTGTTAAATATCATTATTTCTCGGTTACATTGTTTGTACGTAAACATTCAGTAGATTTCGTTTTGAGAGAGGAACTAGAGTTTCGTCCATTGTAAACGCGCAGTCATAGCTAATTTTCGTGTTTTATGGTATGATAGTAGGCATTACATATTTCCTAGCTTTTAAAATATCTTTAATTTCATAAAAATAATTTTTTCAATCTTTCTTAATCTTATCATAATTAAATTAAATCATTTATTTAATTTTTATCACATTTTATATTAAAAAAACGAATATAAATATTTATATTCTTTTTTTAACAATCTATGTTACAGCTAACTTTTTTTAATTTTTTTTCAGTACAAGTGTATAACTCATTAATTCAGTGTCGCGACTAACAGAATATCAAAATCTATTTTTAACTTTATTTTTCTTTCAGCTACTTAGTTTCTTTAACCACAAAAATGTTTCAGTTGCATGGTTGTATTAAATTCTAACGATCTCTTTGCTGATTAAGCTGTAGCCTGATTAACTTCTTGGCATTAGGACTGGAGGGGAGTGGTTTGGATGTCCAATGGTCCCAGAGTCCGACCCTTGAAATCGGCACAAAAATGTTATGTAAAAAAATCGATCTGTCTTCGTCTCAAAAAAGAGACGACTTATTAATAATGATTTAACATGTTTTCGAATTTTTAAATGTAGACATATTTGTTTTGTTAATTTTCAGAATGCTGTCCAATGAAAGCAAGATGATTTTTTTATTTGATATACCTCGACAGTATCTCACTTTCAAGTTTTATCGCGGTAGAATTTGTTAATAGTGGAAATTTCTATTGTATATTATCGCTGTGTTAAAAGGGGGATACTACAGAGATATATCAAACATAGAAAATCATCCTGCTTTTATGACTTAAAACTTCATTTACGTCTTTAAAAATTTAGTTCGAATAGAAATTTTGAGATTTTCTTACGATTAATTTATATTTTTTTCCTAAAATTACTCTCTTTGTACCTATATAATGATTATTTTTTTTGGCAATTTTAAAATCTAGAAAATCTGAAAAAGAGATCGCCAATTATGTCCATGGTGTGTGTTACAATAATCCATCAAGTTTTTATGTGAGCACAAAAAAAAATATACTGAAAACGCCTGAAAGAAAACATATAAATGTGTTGTTCTACCTGCTCAAGCATCTTAAATAGGCTATCTTATTTCTTATAGATTATCTTCATAACTTCCGTTTTGTAAGATTCAAAGATAATTCCTATGACCCTTGTTATAATGATTTTGAATATTTTTAGGTAACAACTGGGGTCGGTGCGAAAATGGAACTTCCAAAGTAGGCTGTGGACCCCAAGAAACATTTAGGGGTTGTGCTGATGTGGCAATCGGTGATGTAGAAAGCAACGACATTCCATCCTACAATGAAAGACCACCTGACAAACCCTCCATATCAGCTATTCCACCTAGAAGACCTGATGAACCAAGATACCGACCACGACCTAGACCAACTAGACCCAATTACCGACCTACATCCTCTGTCCGTAGAAGACCAAATTACAACGGTGTTCAAACTTCCACAACTCAAAAACCAAATGTCAGAAGAACAAGACCTAGAAGGCCAAATCTCTCTAATGTTCCTTCCAGAAAACCACAATCGCCCCGAACAAGGAGGCCGGTCCATATTACGAGACCCTCACCTTACAGACCTATTTACACTCCAAGACCAACACCATACAGACCAACTTACACCAAGATGTCTTACACCAAAAAGCCTAGGCCTACTTACAAGCCTAAAATGCAACCTAAGAAGACCACAAATATCGAAAGAGAAGACGGTGGAGGGTGCAGAGCTGTTGGTGTGTGGGCTTCTATATCTGGAATTGCAAGCTGGTGTGATTCGAATTGTGCTAGAGGATACTGTCCCAGTTCGCATTGTGACTGCAGCTAACTTATTGCGGAAAACTGTTATTCTCTTAAACACAACGGTCAATAGATCATTGTGGTCAGCAGATTTCAAAATTTAATTTAACTACCTTTTTTTAACCATTTTAAGGACAATTAATGGTAAAAGAGATTGATTTTAATATTTTTCTCTAATTCAAGGAATATCATTAAACTTACATTCTGTTTTCTTTTAATAACTATGTTAGGCGCACTATTAAAATGTAAGCATCCGTACACAAACTGGTATGCTTTGTATGGATTTTTAGCACAAAATACATTTTGTGGGCTCTTGTATCTTGAGTTGTAAGCTTGTGGGATTCGAGTTTTAACTGAAAATATTTCCCGGTTGTTTAAATTTAAATCGTGACAGCAGTTATTTTAATTTTTAAAAAATTTGTCATTTTAATGTTTTATTGTGAAATCAGAGTTGAATTTGAACATTGCACTGAACTTAAATATGTACCTATATTAAAGCTCCATCTTATTTTTCCGAAAAAAGAAATATGTTAGATAAAATAGAATATATATAACTATTTTATTCATAAACATGTGAAACGTAGTACGCATAATATAATATATTCAGATAGACATAGCAAATTTTTAATACCATCAAACTATTTAACGAAAGAATTTCTAATCATTTAAGCCTTTTTTTTGCATTACAAATTAATTGACTTGTTTTCTATTTGTATAGATATTAAGGAGTTAAAACAACACAAACAGAATTTGCCAATTATTTTGCTGCAGCAAACAAAGCTTGTTTTTAACAATATTTAATCATTTCAGTTTTAATTTCTTAATAGAAACTAATATAAATATAAAATATACGCGTGGTAATATATTTTGAATATAAATATCATGAATAACACATATTTTTAAAATAGTTTTAAGTAACTGAGTTTTTGAGAGCTTTATTTTCTTAAAATAAATTTTCTTTTGATGTCAATTTAAGTACTTATAAAAATAAGAATAATACTGACTTTTTTTTATATTAAGCTCTAGGTTTTCGTTTTTTTTTTTCATTTTAATATTAATTCGTTTTCAGTTTTATTTTTACACACAATTTTTCATGATAAAAAAGCAGCAAAAGTTTCAAATCTAAAAACGCTCGTTTATTAGATTCACTATAGAGTTTAGGTTTATTTATTGTAAAAGTTTAAGGGTGGAGTTGTATGTTAAACAATCGTTCCAACATCTAGTTTGAAGAAACAAATATGTTTTAATGTTTGTTTGTTTTTAATTTCAAGAAAAATTAAAATTTTCAATACTAATGTTAAATCTGTACTACTCTATGGCTCTGAGACATGGCATTGCAATAAAAATTACATAAATAAACTTTAAGTACTTGCGTATCAATTGACTCGTAAAATTAATAATGCAGAAATTTTTAGAAAGGCAAAACAGAAACCGAGTGAACTGGAAATTAAAAAATTTTCATATAAATGGAACTGTTATGGTCTACGTAAACCAGAAAAATTTAAAGTAAAATAAGTTTTTTATGGAACCCTCTGGGCAATAAGAAAAGGAGGAAGACCTAAAAGTACACAGAGCAATTGTAAGTGAATTGAAAACAATAGGAAAGCCATGGAGAGAGATAAAATATCTGGCCACAAATAGAGTAAGATAAAAAGCCACGGTAGAAGCCTTATGTCCCAACTCGGAGTGAAAAGGAATCTGCATGTATGTAATGTCATTTTTCCTTCGAAATTTTGATTTTCAAATCAATACCTATTTATTTTTAAGCTGACATTTTATTTTAAAAAAAATAAAACTTGTTTCTTGGTGAAATGAAATTCCAATTAAAAATTCAGTTTAGTGCCTTGCAACCATATTTATAATTACACTATTCAACCGGTGGTAAGAAAGACTATATTTTTATAACTATGTGTATTTCAACGAAACGAGTGGAACGCAGTTATATAGATTCTGATATAATTGAAATTCACAAAACTATGCTTCCATAATTGTGTATGTTTCGATGAAACTGATGATGCACAAATCTATGCCTTCATAATCATTATAATTTCGATAAAACCGGTGATTATGCAAGTATGTACTTGTATTTGCGTGGTAAAAATACATGTTGATGCTTGTTACTGCAAACAGTTCCCAGTTTTTCTAGAGTGTGCTTAATTATTATTTTTATCATCGCTGGTAGATGATTGTTTTATTTATGCTTGTTTATTATAAATTGTTCGTCTTCTGTGTACTGTATGAATAATTTATTGTGTGGTTATAGTTGAATTTTTCAATTAATTTTCATGAAAGGCGAATTATTTTTCTACTTATTTATTTCATTTCATTCATGAAAAGTTAGTGTTTGTTCTTTTTAAATGTGATTTTTTAAATAAAGGTTTGAACAATGTATGTTTAACGTTTATTGTCCTCATTTTGCAAAAAAATAGAAGGAAAAAAATAAATATCTAGAATATCTTAGACATATATAATGAGTCACCAACATGAAAACAATTCATCGAAAATAGATTACATGTTTAAAAAAATAAAATAAAAGTTTTGTTCATATTTAGGTGCCATAAAAGTCTGATTAATTTAATTATAATCAAAATTGATATTTAAATTACTTTTTATTCTCATTCAATTTTTTTTTAGTTACACTGTTAGAAATGTTTCTTAAAAAATTGGTGAATAACAATTTATTTAATTATTATTTTGGCACATTCAAATAAAACAGTCAAATAACCATAAATAAGATGGTATACAAACTGTTATCTGTGAGAAAAACCGCTTATTAACTGCTTTTACCTAATACGGTTAAACAACCAGAATTTTATCACATCAACTAGACCCACCTAATGAAGCCACTGAGTTTCTTGCAGATAAGTACATATTATAGGCTAACCTGTCAATCTCATGACCGAGAGAACAAGAGTTCGAGTCTCAGCATTGACACCACAATATTCCTCCATTTCCTTAAACACATAAAGAGTTTCCAGCATCCTGCACTCTCCAATTTGTAACTCTGAGTATTAGAATACGATACTCAAATTCAAGCATAAATGACAGCACACTAAGGCTTCTAAACTATCTCTGATGTCCAGTTAAATTTCTTTTTTACGGTTTTGAAACCATGCTAAATGCAAACAGTTAAAAAACCGTATAATTTTGTATTCATGGCTTTTTAAGCAACCATACTAGTTGTAAATGGTTATAAAACGGTAAAGGTAAAAAATGTTTGTGACGGTTAATTGGATTGGATGGACGGCTAATTGCAAACAGTTAAAAAACCGTATAATTTTGTATTCATGGTTTTTTAACCAACCACACTAGTTGTGAATGGTTATAAAACGGTAAAGGTAAAAAAATGTTTGTGACGGTTAATTGGATTGGATGGACGGCTAATTGCAAAAAGTTAAAAAACCGTATAGTTTTCACAATACAGTAGTATACAATAGTTTTCTTTCAAAAGTATGAACTTCAAAACTGTTAATTGTCCTTGAAAGAAACACTCTAATACGTTTTCATTTGTTTCAATATCATAGTGACATTATTTTTTGCTAACACTTCATTGTAAAGACTGCGGTGTAATATCTATTGAATTTGGTGTTGAAAAACTCAAAAAATCGTGTGTTATTTCAAGTTAATACTGAATTGAGCTTTCATAAGAACTTTAAAGGATGTATTTAAATCTAAACGCCAGAAATTCTAACACATTTCACCAAATTAAATTAATTTACTCCATTTATGGTTGGCAATAGGCCGGAGAATGTAATATACTTAGAATACGGAGAATGTATACGGAGAATGTACGTAAATTTTCAAAAACAAAAGTAAATGCGATTTGATTTGTATTAGAAGTAATATAATTGATGACTGAAAACTCCAACTACACATAATGAGGGAATTTACTCAATTATCGACATTATTTAAAAAGATACGAGCATTTGCATTTTTTGAACTGCAATGGCGGACATCGAAACCTAACTAGGCTTAGCTATCGATCTATTAGCTAAGCAAGATTATAGCCGATTATTTTCTAAGTAATTGCAATCTTCTTGTTGGATTGATTTGACAAGCTATCATTAAACTGTTATGATAGCTTGTCAAATCAAGCGATCATAACAGTTACGATTTGACAAGCTGATCATTAAACTATTACAAACAGAATCTAGGTTGTTAATTGTATATTAACGATATTCATGTTTTCATAAGAAAATTTACAAAAATCAGTCAATGCATAAAATAAATTTATATTACTTAACTTATATTCGCTTAGAGTTTGTTAAGCCTAAATTGAATTCATATTATTATCCTCTCTGTTCTAAACTGCTGTTTGTAGAAAATGCAACACCATGAAAGAATCATCAGAATCAAATGAAATTTAATGCAGAAACGACTTGTACTGATACAAATAAATGATGAAATTTTCAAAACAAAAGAAACAAATTAAGCGTCCGAAATCAGTATTTGGTGCAGCCACCACGCGCTGCAATAAGTGNTTGAGCTTTCATAAGAACCTTAAAGGATGTATTTATATCTAAACGCCAAAAATTCAAGCACATTTCACCAAATTAAATTCATTTACTCCATTTATGGTTGGCAATAGGCCGGAGAATGTAATATACTTCGTAAATTTTTAAAAACGAAAGTAAATGCGATTTTATTTGTATTAGAAGTAATATAATTGATGATTGAGAACTCCAACTACACGTAATGAGGGAATTCACTCAATTATCGACATTATTTAAAAAAATATGAGCATTTGCATTTTTTGAACTGCAATGACGGACATCGAAACCTAACTAGGCTTAGCTATCGATCTATTAGCTAAGCAGGATTATAGTCGATTATTTTCTAAGTAATTGCAATCTTCTTGTCGGAATGATTTGACAAGCTGATCATTAAACTGTTACAAACAGAATCTCTGTTGTTAATTGTATATTAACGATATTCATGTTTTCATAAGAAAATTTACAAAATCAGTCAATGCATAAAATAAATTTATATTACTTAACTTATATTCGCTTAGAGTTTGTTAAGCCTAAATAGAATTCATATTATTATCCTCTCTGTTCTATGTGTATAGTTGATTAACAAATGAATTTGATTTTGAGAAATTTTGCGTATAGACATCCTAAGTTAATGATTTTTATTTTATATTGCAGCATAAAAGTACCTTTACTAGCACGTATGTGTAGGATATCTAATACATTTAATTGCTACTGAATATCAAAAATGGTGGCGGCTGCTTTGCACCAAGTAAGTTGAAAAGAGCATTCTTTGTGCTTCACTTACCAGAAACTAAAATCAGTTCTTGGCATAGTGGAAACACTTTTCGGATTACCACTTTTATTTACCACACAAATACTATATTTACCTCCATCTTTGGGATTCAAGTACACGAAACTTTTTAACATGTTTTTATATTCCTTGCATTGATAACATGTTATAATAAGTACTGGACATTTTCAATTCCTTAAAAAAGAAAGAATTAAACTAAAAATAGTTTTGTTAAACGTCGAGTAAACAAAATTACTTTTAGAATAAAGAAGGAGCAAGTGCTTCATTTAAATGTTGCTGTATCCTAATTTAATTTCTTGTAAATTACTTCTACCTTAATCTAAATGTTTTGCTGTCAGAACACTTTCCATGTTTTGAATAATTGTTATCTCTTTTTTCTAAATTTGATTAAAATTTA